TATTCAGAGGCAAAAGTAGGAAACGTACAATCATGCTGCCAGAGCCGTGTCTGTTTGAGTCCAAGGAACATTCCAGAACGGGCAAGAATGGGAAAACGGACAAGCATGCTGCTAGAGCCATGTCTGTCTCAGTCCGAGGAACGTTATAGAATCATCGGTATATGTTAGCACAACAAATAGGCAAAAACATTGAAAGCTTCACCTTTTCACAGATTGGCTAAAAACTGCCAAATCACCATGATTCTATATTTTGAATTGTCTTTCTTAACAATCATTGGTACAGGTTTCAGTAATGACAGTCAAGAGGATCTTCACTGGTCCAACAAATCTTGCTATTCACTAAATGCTAATAGAAAAAGATGAGTGGAAAGTATATGAGTCTTTTGTGTTGTGTTATGATTTCTTTATGTGAAAGGTTCCCTAAAAGATATTTTCCAAAAGTGTCCTAGCTATTGTTTTTGTACCTCAGGGCCCAGTTGATATGTCCCTGTGAGTCCTTGTGAGTCCAGCTCCAGCTGGGTCACATTCTCTGTGCTCAAAGACAGGGAATAATGGCTCTGATATTATTTTCTAAATCAATACCAAAGTAAAATGTAGGCTCAAGCCAACCTTCCTATAATGAGGGAGACACAGCTACTGTAGATTCCTATTCAGTTGTCATATATTCTCAATACTTATGACCTAATGACTCAGGATATATAAAGACTCAATACATAAACAATTATACCTGCTTAAGCCAAAAACATGAATAATGCTTTGTAATGCTCACCTACTTCTAAAAATATTCATATTATCTTATAAATTAAGTTACACATTTTTATTACTTAAGTCTGTATAAACTTTTTGAAAATTCATATAAGGATAATGTAAGAGAAATACCATCAAAAGAATTATAACTAATAAATATTTTCAGATGCTTATGTTCATTGGATTATTATATTTGGGCAATGTAACTGTTTCTAATTTTTCTTGTGTTGGGAGTAGGCAAATTGTTGTGTGATTAAATAGTTTTTGGGTTCTGATAAGAAAATACACCCACACACATGCACACACACACACACAACACACATACGCACATGTGCATAAAGAAATCATGTTTCATAGTAATAAACTCAAAAAGGAATTTGTCTTATGGGTCACTTAAAAAGGATTTTTAGGGACATCGGAGGAAAAAGTACAATTATGATTTTATAAAACATGATATTAATTGAACAACATATATTTTGAATATATATAGGAATTAATGGCTAAGGTGTTGTTACATATTAAATTGTGTCCCCCCAAAATGTGTGTCAACTAGGCTAGACTATGATTCCCAGTATTGTGTAATTGTCCACCATTTTGTCATCAAATGTGATTTTCCTTCATGTTGTAAATCTCTATGACGTTAATGAGGCAGGATTAGAGGCAGTTATGTTAATGATGCATAACTCCATCTGCAAGATTAGGTTGTATTTTGAGTCAAGCTCTTTTGAGCATAAAAGAGAGAAGCCAGCAGAGAGTCAGGGAGACCTCATACCACCAAGAAACAAGAGCCAGGAGAATAGTGCATCCTTTGGACCTGGGGTCGTGGTGCTGAGAAGCTCCTTAACCAGGAAAGATTCATGACAAGTACCTTCCCCCAGAGCCGACAGAGAGAGAAAGCCTTCCTCTGGAGCTAGCACCCTGAATTTGGACATCTAGCTTCCCAGAGTGTAAAAGAGTAAGTTTCTCTTTGTTAAAGCCATCCACTTGCGGTATTTCTGTTATAGCAGCTCTAGGTAACTAAGACAGATATCCTGGAACACTTTATTCACAATAGTCAGTATATGTTGTTGTTGTTGTTGTTAAGTGCTGTCAAGTTGATGCCAACTCATAGTGACCCTGTAGAACTGCCCCATAGGGTTTCCTAGGCTGTAATCTTTACAGGAGCAGATAGCCAGGTCTTTTTTCCCTACAGAGGGGCTAGTAGGTTTGAAGAACCGCTGACCTTTCAGTTGGCAGTCAAGTGCTTAAGCATTGTGCCATCAGTGCTCTTTAGTCTATATATGGTTTTTATGATTTACATACTCATATAAGATTTGTAAACCAGAACCCCAAAATATCTTTTTCATCTTATGAAAGAATAGGCTCAACATAGTCTCTCCGTGACTGCTGGGAGAGAAAAAAATATTCAGGTCTAGAAAGAATGACTGGAAATGTCTATAAATTCCTTGTTTCTCATTTTAAAACTGAATACATGAGAAATTCACACTTCAAAACCCACTTAAAAAAATACATAAAAAGCGGCAGTTTTGTTTCAAGAAACTGTGCTAATGTGGAAATTGTTGTTATTTCAGGTAATATATCTTAGTATTTTAAAATGTTTTTAATCTTTCAAGCTTGGCTGAAGTCTAACTTGATAAGTTGGAATTTGTGATAATGATAATAGGGCTGGGAAACTCGCCTTAATTAGACTGTTTTCTTTGTTAAAACCAAAACTGTCGTAT